TCTCCCTGGTGAAGCTGGCTGCAGCCACAGACCACCTGAGTCTGTGTGCACTGGCGCTTGGGCCTCTCTGCCCTCTGACCTAGCTGGCCCAAAGTCCAGGGGATTAGCTGGGAATGGTGCCTCCCATCCTGGTGTCGTAACCCAGCAACCGAAGGGGCGAGGCAGGCAGATGAGTCAAGTGGAGTCGCAGAGAACCTCTGGCTTTGTGTTTTGTTTGCAAACGCTCCCTGGAGTAAGCCGGTAGGCCCTTCTGGAGCGTGGCGGGGCTTTCCCACATTGCTGCGGCCCTGTCTCCTGCTCACAGAGATCTGGGCCCAGTGGCTGGCTGACGAAGCTGGGGGACAGACTGGTGGGCCAGGAGAAGCCCGTCCTGGCGACACTCTGGCTCTGCCTTTCACTTGTTTTTCTCAAGTACAAACAGAACTGCAGGCCTGGATCCTGAGGGAAGGTGGGGTTGTCGCTAAGAACTCTGGGCAAGAGGACCGATGGGTCTGGGGTTGTGCAGAGTGCGGACAGAGGGGGTGCAGGGAAGCTTGAGCCGGCCTGCAGCAATCAGGAGAGGGCCTTGGAGCGCTGCCCCACAGGAGTGGGTGAGGGGGTGGGAGGCAGGCAGCTTATCAACCAGGCAGGGGGAGCCTACGGCAGACTCAGGCAGGCTGCTGCAAGTGCTGGAAGAGCTCGTGAGAGCAAGCGCACCGACAGAACTGGCCACATGATCTGCGGGCCCGGTGCAAACAAGAGGTAGGGCTCTTTGTTCAAAAATGATTGAACACTTCAGGATGGCAACCAGAGTGCGTTAAATAACCTAGGGCTCTTCTGAGCAGGGGAACCTTCGTGACTGCACGGGATGCTCACCCACGAAGCCAAAGCTTATCGAAGCAGCTGTGAAAACTGAGATGCACGAGCTGGCAGAGGTCTGGCCACTGCTGGCTTCCACCTCGGCGGCTCTTACCCACGTTGTCCTGCGGCCCCCAGCCCCACACTTTCACCAGGCTTGAGAGGTTGCCTCTGTTCCAATAGCAGTCCCTGTGCTGGGGCCAGTTGAGGCCCGGTCTCTCTGCAAAGAGTTTAGCAAGGCCAAGGTGGGAGGAGGGCTCAGGGCCGAGTGGACTGTGGCTTTGGGTCCTCTGAGCCTTTGAGTCCCAGCACCCCCAGGACTCCCTAGACAGGCCAGGAAAGGCAGGCCCAGCCATCAGAGCCCTGCAAGTGAGGCTGTGGAGGTGTTTGGGAGCAGGATGGAAATGTGGCTTATAGACCACACGCTAGGTCACCTTTTAAGGACCCAAGTGGCTACATCCTGAAGGTGTGTGACTGGCCATGAGCGGAACCACGGCCCAAGTGAAGCCTTCTCCACTCTCGGGAACTTACCTCCAACTCGATGTGGTCGTGGAGTTTCTTGCAGGTGGCTGCAAACGTCTCTGAGGTGCCAAATTCAAAGTACCACAGCTTGTTCTTCATCCTGGTCCACAGAGCAGAGAAACAGCTCAATATTCTGCACTTAACATGCCCATGTAGAGTAGCTGCTATTGGGATCGGAAGGCACACACCTCGGCACTCTCCGGTCTTACATTCTCAGCATCACTGAGAAGATGATTTAGGAATACATTTTTTTTTTTTTTTAACCAACTCTTCTTATTAGGACCTTAAGAAAATCCATGCATTGCTTAGTATGGCAGCTCTGGGTAAACTGCTAGGAGATCCCTGAGTTTCCTGGTCAGCAGGAGCAAGTCCTGCTTGCCTTTGTGTCTGCATCAAGGAAAGAGTTCCACGGGAAACCAACCAGATGTGGGATGACAGCAGGTTCTGGCCACGGTCCTTGCTGTTCCTAACCAGGGACTTTCAGGCAGAGCCTTTTTCAAGGTGTGGCTGGGATACAAAGCGAGGTCATATAGCCTTTGAGACTGGAAGGATGTGCAGAGAGGGCTGGCCCTGGACGAACCCTGCCAAAGTATGTGCAGTTTTGCCTGGGCTCTGATTTGGGGAAGCAGAGTGGACATAATTAGATACAGATTTGCAGGCAAGTTGGAAAAAGAAGGAGGAAAAAAAGGTGAATTGTTTGGCAGCACGAATCAACCCTACCCACTTCCTCAAGTGTATTTGCTTAGTCCATGACAATCCTTCATTGAGCGGCAGTCTTTACTATTATTTGCTTCAAAGGAAGAGCTTGCCATTGTTAACTTTACCTTTTTTTTTTTTTTTCATTATTTTTCCTTAGGAGAGAAAAAGAAATCAACCAGTGGGGTTCCCATGTAGCTAGGGGCTTTGCAAAGTCAGCTGGTGTGTCCTTACACTTGGTGGTTTTGATCAGATGGTCTCACCAGGAAGTGTTTCTGAAGGTATTCCATTCCTTCCACCCCAACTGTCACCCCATTATCAGGCCTGGCTAAGAGAAGGGACACCTGTCCAGTTTATTAGCTGACAGCTTTTGCTAAGGAAAGATTAAACAAAATCACATTCTTCTTGGCACTCAGGAGAGAGGAAGCCACCTCGCATGTTGCTAATCCTCTGTCCTCAGATCTGTGGACTGAGGGGCGGGGGCATTCTTCAGGGGCAAGCCAGCTCTTCTTTCTTTCTAGCTTTCCTTAGGCCATAGAAGACAACTCTTTAGAGCAAAACACGACCCTTTTCTCTGCATTTCTTCAAGAGTCTCCCTTGAAGATAAGACTGTGTTCTTCTATCCTCTGAGGAATTCTGAGGTCTACTTGGTTGGGAAGTAGCCGTTCTGACTCTTAATATTATTATTATTTTTGAGAGAGAGAGATTTTTTGCTATAGGGAGTATAGGCTCACTGGAGAGACAGAGAGAGAGAGACAGAAAGCAAGAAATCACCCCTTAGGAGGGATGGTCATGCCACAATCCCTTCTCCTCCATTCTCCTCTAAGGTTTTGGGCATGCACATACACACATCTGGCGTGAGTTTTAAGCCACCAGGTCTGGGATTTGAATCATAATACTCGAACCATAGTTGACGACATGGTAGTCCAGTGAGGTAACCATTAAGCCATCTGCTGGTCCCCATTCTGGCTCTTAGCATGTGTGAAAAGAAATGACTAAATTATGAATGGATTAAGAGTAGGTAAGGTCTAGGGAATAATGTCTCATGAAAAAAGCTGAAAGAACTGAGCGTACTTGAAGCAGCGCTTCTGCCCACCTCCTCAGCTGTCAAGGTGGTCAGCTGGGGCCTGGGCAGCCTGAGCCCCCTTCCCACAGTGGGCATTCTCCCCTGTGTTCCCAGCCTACCCAACACAGCTTTTCCTTTTTTATGCATGTCAGATGAAAAACCAAAGCAGACTGTGGGAGATCGCCAGTGTGACACAATACGTACACACGAGAATGCGCGCACTACTCTGCTGGGGGATTCTGTCAGAACAGACTCTGATTCAGTAGTGTGGGGCTGGGGTCCAAGAGTCCTCATTTTCTAACAAGCTGCTGATGCTCCTGGTCTAGGGATCACACTGAGTCATGAGAGCCTGGAGACTGCGTTCTCAAATATGAGTGTTCGTAAGAACTACCTGGGACGATGGGATTAAAACGCTGCTTCCACAATGCCGATCCTTGCAGATTCTATGTGACAGTTGTGGGATGGGCCAGGCCTGTGCCTATTTATGGGCATCCAGGTGATCACTGTGTAGAGGGTCAGCGGATGGGACTTCAAGGAACTTTACTGAACACCGAGGGAATAAAAACCATGGGAAAGGACAGAATCAGTTCAACATAAAGGAGAGGACTCCCTAGGGAGGATAAAATGAGGGTCAGTGCCCTTTAACAGTCAACGATGGCAGAAGACCAAGTAACGGGAAAAACACCGATCGTCGTAAACGCCAAGGCTGAACATTCCTTTCCGGTAGCAAGAGCATCTCTGCGGCCAGGAGACTTGCATCGGGATTCCATTTTCAAATATCATGGCTGGTCTGAGTCATGACTTTTGAAAGTTATTGCCAGGAGATATAGAGTTTTAATAAAAATTCCAGAAGCCCAGCTATTTTTGCTCAGAAAAGTCTCTTCTCAAGATCTAACAAGGTTAAGAGGTCATGGTTGGGTTGGGATTGCAGAATGAGAAGATCAAATGGACTACTCTTCCACTGTTCGCTGTGTAACCTTTGGCAAGTTATTTAACCTTTTTAAGCCTTGGTTTTCTCACCTGTCAGCTGGAGAGAATAACAAGATATACTTCAGTGTGGAGGCATGGTAGTTAAAGCAACTGGGTCCTCAACTGTGAGTTTCTAGTACGTGGCTCAGTGGTTTGAAAACCACACGTGTGTGTGTGCGTGTGCCCAAAGTCCAGAGAAGAAAATGGAGGAGAAGGGATAGAGGTGTGGCCATTCCCTATGGGAGGGTGAGTTCTCACTCTCTCCACTCCCACCCTGTCTGTCTCTCTCCAGTGAGCGTGCATGCCCTATGGCAAATTTTTCAAAAAGGAGGGGAGGGGAGAGAGAGAGTGAAAAGATGTGCTTCAAAGGGCAGTTGAGAAGATAAACTAAGATGGTAGTAGACTGTCTCCAGATGCTTGACACATGGTAGGTCCACCGAGAATGTTAGCTCCTTATTTTCTAGCTGTTATTATATTTCAGGGTCTTGAGTTGGCATATGGGACAACATAGAAGGGTGCTCTAAAACTTTTGTGGGAAAATGAAACTACAGTATGAGTTCGTTTTGGTACAAAACATTTTTGAAACCTATATGTAGTGTTTTCATGATACACATTACCCATGAACTTTTGGAAGGCTCCCATGTAAGGCAACAATGACAAGATCAACGTATAGATATTACATATTCGCATTTTTCTGAGCAAGTAAAATATGTGACCATATTTATTAGATCATGGGTCTTGACTTTCAGTAAGAAAATATGTTCTCCACATGTCTAATTTAATCATTTTTTTCCCAGAATCATAGACCACATCCTAATCTTTGGTTAATTATCTTAACTGGTCACATGATTAGCCAAAGACGTGATGTTGACTGTGAACATGCTTCCGAGAAAGTGCATGTTTGGTGTGAGAGAAAGTCTTTATTAATTCAACAAACATTCATTGTGCCAGGAACTAGAAGGCGTGTGCTAGGTACAAGGAAGGACAAAACTCAGCATCCCATGAGCCAGGCACCCAAAAAGAGCAGTCAGGAAGCAGACCATAGTCCGGTGGGCTAAACCCTAAGTACTGGGGTGTGTAAGGGGAGAGACACCAACGGGCTGAGCCCTGAGTACTGGAGAACATAAGGGGAGAGACACCAATGGGCTGAGCTGTGAGAACTGGGGAGCATAAGGGGAGAGACACCGACGGGCTGAGCCCTGAGTACTGGGGTGGGTAAGGGGAGGGACACCGACGGGCTGAATCCTGAGTACTAGGGTGAGTAAGGGGAGAGACAGTGACAGGCTGAGCTCTGAGTACTGGGTGAGTAAGGGGAGAGACAGCAATGGGCGGAGCCCTGAGTACTGGGGAGCGTAAGGGGAGAGACACCGATGGGCTAAATGGGTTAAGCCCCTAGTACTGGAGAGTGTGAGGGGAGAGATAGCGACGGGCTGAGCCTTGAGTACTGGGGAGCGTAAGGGGAGGGACACCAACGGGCTGAGCCCTGAGTACTGGAGTGAGTAAGGGGAGAGACATCAATTTTTTTTTTTTTTAGAGAGAGATTTTGCTATAGGGTGCATGCACTTGCCAGAGAGACAGAGAGAGATGGAGAGACAGAAAGTGATAAACCACCCCCTGGGGGGATGGCCACGCCACAATTCCTTCCTCTCCACTCTCCTCTCAGGGAGAGTGTGAGGGGAGAGATAGCGACGGGCTGAGCCTTGAGTACTGGGGAGCGTAAGGGGAGGGACACCAACGGGCTGAGCCCGGAGTACTGGAGGGAGTAAGGGGAGAGACATCAATTTTTTTTTTTTAGAGAGAGATTTTGCTATAGGGTGCATGCACTTGCCAGAGAGACAGAGAGAGATGGAGAGACAGAAAGTGATAAACCACCCCCTGGGGGGATGGCCACGCCACAATTCCTTCCTCTCCACTCTCCTCTCAGGGCTTTGGGTATACACACACACATGTGCCCGGTATGAGTTTTAAGCCACTGGGTCCAGGATCAAACCATGGCTGACTATGTGGGAGTCCAGCAACGTAACCATTATACCATTCGCTGGTCCCAGAGACACCTATCCTTAGTGGGATTCGAAGTTAGGAATGCTTCCTAGTGGAGCGATGCCAGAACTGAGTTCAGAAGGATGTAGAAAGGAACAGAGTACGCAGAGGTCAAGCATTCTAGGTGGAGGAAGGAGCCCTGCAGTGGACAGAGCAAGAGAAGGCACCAGCCTGCTGGAAAGGACACTGAACCCAAGGGCAGGCGTGGGGAGGGAGACAGCGGTAGGACCGTGAAGGCTGGCGAGGCCATGCCTGGGCGCTCGGGCTTTCTCGTGGAGTTGTAGAGCAGCGTGCCCCATCCTTACGTGAGGCCAGTGGCCTGATCAGAT